TAGGAGGAGAAGGGGGAGGGCATAGGGGGAGAAGGGGAGGGGCATAAGGGGAGACGTGGGAGGAGCGAAAGGGCAGAGAGATGGGCAAAGAATGAAGGGAAAGCAAGAAAAAAGGAGAATGGAAGATTAGAGGAAGAGAAGAGGGAATTAATGAAAAAAAAAACAAAAAAACAAGGAAGAGAAACAGGACAAAGCAGGAGAAAGAGAAGCAGACCAAAATCGGAGAGCATTATGATCTCCCTCCGAGCATAACCCGCCCCCCCCCCCTCCCCCCCCCCCCCCTCCCCAGGCCTAACTTCGCCACGGGGAAATCAACCCTCAGCGCCGTAAAGGACGCCAATGGCCGCCGCGTGACCCTCCGGCGGGCCAATCCTCGTCGGCGCCGCTGGAGCCGTTCCGAAAATGAGGGCGGGGGGAAGGGAAGGGGGGAGGGGAGGGGGAGGGGCGGGGTGGAGGGGAGGAGGGAGGGGGGGGGAGGGAAGGGAGGGGAGGGGGGAAGGGAAGGGGGGGAGGGGAGGGGGAAGGGGGAGGGGAAGGGAGGGGAAGGGAGGGGGGGAAGGGAGGGAGGGGAAGGGGGAAGGCGAGGGGAAGGGAGGAGGGAGGGAGGAAGGGGGCAGGGAGTGGGGAAGGGGAAGGGGGGAGGGAGGGAGGTACGGCGTGACCTACCTCCTCCGTAAGCGATCCGACTCGTCCGGGGTCAATCGCAGGTCGTTCCGATCGCCTCGAGTCGGTCAAGGTTAACCGAGGTCGTCTGTGAGTGCCCCGCCTGGTCAGCTGGAAACGGCTTCCCGAGTCGTTTCGGGTCGTCTCCGAGTCGGACCTCAGTCAGTTCAAAGGTCACCCGAGTCGTTTCAGGTCGTCGACGCTGCTTGCCGTATCCCCGACAGACGCAACGACCCCCCCCCCTCCCCTCCCCCCTCCGCGCCCCTCAAACGAAGCCACTCTTCAGCTGTTCGAACGACCCCTCGAACCCCCGACCCACCTGTTCGTCCACGCGCGAGTCCAAAAAAAAAAAAAACAAAAAGAAAACAAACAAAAAAAAAAAACAAAAAAAAAATTACGTGCACCGCTGTACAAAAGACCGGCCATCCCTTGTACTGGGCACTTGACCGGGCACTCTTTTTGTCTCACTCGGTAATATCTGTGCCAGGTTTAAAGAGACCGAGATCAATAGAGGACCGCGGTTATTAAACGCTCTTTGCCTCGAGTGTTTTATTCCTCATCAACTTCAATCGCCACGCCCTCTATTCGCTCCGTAATGATTCGCATTTTTTCCTTTCGGGGTAAACAAGATTATCGAACGATAAAAAAAAAGTCCCTAGTTGTTTCTTATTTTTCTTCTCTCCCTCTCTGTCTCTGTCTCTCTTTCTGTCTCTGTCTGTCTGTCTGTCTGCCTCTCTCACTGTTTCTCTCTATTTCTGTCTCTGTCTGTGTCTTTCTCCCACTCCCCTTCTACCCATCCATCAACCTATCTCTCCCTATTCCTCGTTCTATCTCCCCTCCCTGTCCTTACTATCCCTCCCCTCTTCCTCCCACTTCTCCTCCACTTCCCTCCCCTCCCTTCCCTGGATCCCGCCTCTCCCCTCTCCTT